CATTACTATGCCACCTTACAGCTATACTTATTGAATAAACAGCCTGATTCTTAACTGTAGATTTTAAGAGTGTTCCCAAACCCAGGGGACACCCGTTCCTCCAGATGTCTCCTGGAACTGTGCTGCTGAGTCAGGTCTCACCCTAAGGATGCATGACCAACTCTCCAGCATCATTTTGGGAAACTGAAAGCTTAGATTCAAGCTTCTCTTATCAGCCGATCTTGCCCTTGCAACCTTAGGCCTAAAACATTTCACACACAAAATGTCAAGCATTGTTCTCAGTCTTCATTGTTTTCAGTCAAGAGGGTACTGCCTTTTAGCACTTTGATTTGTTAATTTTCAAGCAAACCCAAATCCACATTGATTCACTATCTTAGGTGGAGCAGCAACTGGGGAATCAAGATCAGGTGCCCAGATCACAAGCACGTGGCTCAGTGAGTTTGTTGGAGTAGCCTTTTAGTTGCAAGGTTAATTAAAAGTCATGAGTCCAGATTCTGTTCACTTGGTAAGTCATTCTTTTTTTTTTTTTTTTTTTTTTTTTTGGTCTTTTTGAGACAGAGTCTCCCTGTAGCCCCAGCTGTCCTGGAACTCACTATGTAGACCAGGCTGGCCTTGAACTCACAGAGGTCCCCCTGCCTCTGCCTCCTGAGTGCTGGGATTAAAGACGTGCACCACCACACCTGGCTCCAATAAGTCATTCTTACTGTTGATATCTTTTGATAATTTGGGTTACCTTTGCTAATTTCCCTTTTAAGATCAGATTTCTACCCATGTACTGAGGTAATAAATCCCCCTTCCCTCTTTACAACTTCCCTCTCTCTTTATCTTACTTTCATCCGTCTTGTAGGTGATATGCATGATTGAAAGCTGAGACTATAGACAGTGGACTTCTTTCTTTCTTTCTTTTTTTCTTTTTTCTTTTTGGTCCTTTTGAGACAAGGTCTTCCTGTAGCCGCAGCTGGCCTGGATTCGCTAATGGAGACCAAGCTGTCCTTGAACTCACAGAGATCCGCCTGCCTCTGCCTCCGGCGTGCGCCACCATGCCTGGCCGACAGTGGACTTCTTTATAAAACATATGGCAGTTATGTCTCTAAAGTGATTTTACCTTCACCTGAACTTGATTTTTTTTTGACTTTCTGAAACAGGGCTTCCCTGTAGCCCCAGCTGGCCTGGTATTCACTGTATAGACCAGGCTTGCCTTGAACTCAAAGAGATCTGCCTGCCTCTGCCCCTACCACCATGCCTGGCTGAACTTGATGTTTTTTATATTTTATAATTCTCAAAATCAAAACCTAACTAAATCATTCAGACTTTTAAAGATGAAATAACTCATTTAACTCATTTAGAAGATTAAATGTTTGCTTAAGAATAATATACAACTACTGAGCTGTTTTGTGACAGCTATACTTTTTTACCAGTTCTGCCAGAGTACGTGAAGATTCCAGTTCCTCCACATTCTACCCACTGTTGGTTGTCTTTTGGACTTTAACCATCTTAGTAGATACCAAAGTGCTATTTACTTAGGATTTTAATTTGTGTTATAAAATCTCTCATCTGCATTGTTAGTTTTTCCTCTATTAGATCCTTCTGATGAACATATAAACAAACATGCTGCTATTTCATCTTAAGAACAAAACTCTAAAAGATGGTTTTATTTTGGAAAAGTATTCCTTATAAAAAGACATCTGCAAAATACAGAGACCTCTGTAGCAATTCCTTGTTTTTTCTTAAAGTGAAAGAGTGGGTGGCATCCAAGGAACTTTAGCAGCAGGACTTTACAAGCATTGCAGTCAGTTTAGGTAATAGAGCAACAATATGCAAGAAACAAGGTTTCTGCTCATAATTTTTTAAAATTTTATTTTTATTTTATGGGAGTGAGTATATTGCCTGCATGTATATAAGTGGACACATGTCATGCAATGCCCACAGTGGTCAGAAGAAGGTGTCGGATCTCCTAGAACTGAATTTCGGATGGTTGTTAGTCACCATGTGAATCAAACCTGGGTCCTCTGCAAGATCAGCCAGTGCTCTTAGCTGCTGAGCCATCTCCAGCTCCATATAGTTCTCCTATAGATGTAAAAGCACAGCTCTCACTTTAAAAGGGATAAGAGGTTATTCTGCAACCAAATATGAGTAACCATGACCTGGGAACATGGATTCACATTTCCCCAAATACCATGTTGCAGCATGGTAAGAGTTTCACAAAGTTTTTATAGTGGGAGAATAAAGGAAGTCATAAATCAAGGCATTTTTCAAATACTTTGTTGGGAATATCAGATAAGTTATAGAAAAATAGGGAAATCTGTGGTTTCAGGTGCTAGCTGACATTCTGAGCCTTTGGATTGATGAAAGTTATTGGTCTGTTAATTCATTCTAAAAAGATTTCCCCCAGAGTCACAAGGGCTTTAGATCAGAAACAGAGGTGAGCAGTGAATGGCTATTAAGAGACTAAAGAGCACTCTCCAACATTCTAGCTTGCCACTGTCCCTGTAGAATCCTTAACACAGGTATCCTCCCCCACCCCCTGGAAATTCAGTTCACACTGTTACAACTTCAGGGCTACCTCTCTCCTTCATTTAGTTGAAAAGCATGGCCTCTTATTACAAATCACTTATTCCACTACAGTAAATGCATTAAAACATAATTTTGATAACATGTGGTTACCTGTAACATTTTGGAGGGTGGAGACAAATACCTGCAAAAGTAAACATTAAACTTGACAGTAAAACTCAAATGAGACAAAGGTTTTTTTCAGAAAGTACCTGGACTGGCTAGGAGATCATAATGCATTAAATAACAACGGTCTAGGACTTAGTTTGTATGAGAATATGGGATAATGAGGTAGTCTTTACCTGTGTGGTTAACTCCCCATTCTATATATGGACTAAGTTAGCATTGCCAGTATACTACCTTATCCTTAGATCTGCCTGTAATACTAGAGTGAAATCAGGAAACCAGAATGCTAAGAGTATGTATTTATGCAAGGATAAGCAAGCAGCTCACGCAGACTTGTCTACAAAGTTTGCCGTGGGATTTCATGTCCATCCAATTCAAATTATTTCATGCTTCTATATTCCACTTATGTAAAATCCAGTAAATGTCTTAACACATTGACACTTGATTCTGGTTACTCAGAAGTATTTCTTGTGTCAAGGAAACAAGACTAAAGTGTACTTGGTAGGGACTACAGGGTAGAAAACATAATACAGAGATGTACAGATTTAACCAGATCCTCTGCTTACGCCTGTGTAGAAGGCTCCTATTTTATTTGCTGGACCAGATTGCTCTGCCCATCCCCCCTATTCTTTATTGCTAAAGCTGGGCCAGTATTTTTCCTTTTGCAAGGCAGGCAAGGGCCTGTCTAAGAGAGAAGCAGGCACTTGAACACCAACAGAGCCTGCTGTTGTCTGAGGCACAGAGCACCAGTTCACATGCAATGCCAAGTTGCCCTAGGACCAAATCAAACTAAGGTTCAGGAGTTTTAAAGGTTATTAATCTTGTTACTACAATTGTGTTAAACATAATTGATCTTTAAAATTTTTGTTTTATGATTTATAAAGTATCAACAGATTTAGTTCTTGTTGTAAGTCATTACATTTTCTCCAGTATTTAACTTAGAAATGGTTCAGTAAAGTCCTGCCTTAGTTTGTTTCATGAATTTGAAATGAGAACATTTCAGTGGCTCTAAGAAATTCTCAAATTTATTCCCTTTAAATTTCATACTTAGGCGAAACTATTTTAATAAAAAGTAATTTTAAGATTTTGCAGGAGTGTAAGGTAACCTACAATTTTCTCAGAATATTGTTACTAATATCTTATTAAAAGTGGTAATATATTAGGTTTTAACTATTCAGTAATGCCTTTTTTTGGGGGGGGGTCTTTTTCAGACAGGGTCTCCCTGTAGCCTCATCTGGTCTGAACTCACTATGTAGACCAGGATGGCCTTGAACTCACAGAGATCCACCTGCCTCTGCCTCCCGAGTGCTGGGATTAAAGGCGTGCGCCACCACGTCCGGCTATGAAAGGATTTTTATACATACATACAGGCTGGTGTATTGACACTAATAGTTTAGATTCATAAATTATTCTTTTGGTCTATTGCCTTAAAAAAAAAGCATTTTATCCTGAAAGTGTTGATAATCCCAGATTGAAAATATATCATCTGAAAGCTTAAAAACCTGCCTTGTTGGTTAAGAGGCTTGTTTTAGTTTGGGTATTATTTTTATCAGATGAGTGGCTATTTGACAACTGCTGTGCTTTCTTAAAATTTCAGTAATGAGAAGCTTTTGCCTCTCCTCTTCTTTCACACCTTTTGTCTATAAGGAATCTCAGTCTAGGACCAAAGACAAATCTGAATTGGAGATTTATTTCTAGCTTTGTGATAAACACTGTTGATATTTTCTTATAGAATTGTGTCAGACAGCTCAATGGTTACTATATTTCTGTGATGTACTAGGCACCTTCTTAGCCAGTACACTAAACTGCACATCCTCTGCTGGTCTGGTCTCTTTTGCTTTTCAGTTTTCTCCTGGTTTGGGGATTGCTTTTAAAGTTTTCTTGCTGTCTTGGTGTTGTGGAGGAGTAGCCTGGTGTCCTGAAAAGAAAGGAAGTGATCATGGGGAGTAGTTAAAATGGAGAAAGCTGAGCTGGTCTTGCTCCTCGCATTAAACATAATGAGTTTATAGGATTATAATTGTGTGTAGTCATCAGAGTCTGACAGAAAAGGCATCTGTTTTATTTTTGACTCTCATGTTAGCTGAGAAAGAGCATCCTCAAAATGTTTAATGGGAAGATTTTGTGTTATAGCTGATGTTGGCAGTCAAATTTTTGAAATTTGCTTTTAAGAAAAATAACATGATTTCATTAGTACTAGATAATCATTAATCTGAATATGCTTTCCTAAGTGGAAAATAAGTTGCTGTGAATGTTTGGATTTCATTTATTATAGACTACATTATAGTTGTTTAGTATATTTAAATTACTTTGTTTTTATTTCCTAGGTTGCACGTTTTCAAAAAATACCTAATGGTGAAAATGAGACAATGATTCCTGTATTGACGTCAAAGAAAGCAAGTGAACTACCAGTCAGTGAAGTTGCAGGCATTCTCCAAGTAAGTGGTTTGTGAAGCAGAAGGGAGAAGTATCTGATCAGTCATTTAGAATGAGTCTGTGCTGTTGCATAGTGTTTGCTCCAGTGATAGAAATATTGTGTGCTGTTGAGCATAATAGCCACCAGAGAACATGGCTGCATGACCTAGAGTGTGGCTAGTGTAGGGACAAATGGAATTTAACTTAAATGTACTTAAGTAGCTGTATGTGCTAGTGCCACATGCTACTACCACACGCACATATCCATTCAGACAGTACAGCCCAATATCCATAGCATGGCCAGCAACCATTAGCAGTAGGTCAGTTGAGTTAGGGAAAGAATTAATGTAATTAGTAACATAAGTGGTAGAATTTTTTTTTTTTTTAAAAGAAACTGGTTTGCTAAGGTGAAGTGAAAGCTAAGCACAAATTTAGATTTGCAACTCAATGTTAATTGTCTGTGTCCTTTATTGTCTTTCTATTTTTAATTTTTGAAAAGTACAGTAAATTCAAACATGAAGAAAAGAGCATGTTTATCTTTTGGTTATTTTAATTGCTTGTTCAAAAACATTGATCCATTTTTGAGGAATTTTTATTTTGGTGTTTTTATACTTCATTTTAAAACTACTTACTTTAAAACTTAAATATGTTTAAGTTTCATAAGGTTTGATTACTGAACACTTAAAGCTGTTGGCCAGGGAAGCTGTTATTTCTATAATGTTGATAATTTCACTTTTATGATCATTAGAATAGAAAATCATGCTGGTTAGTAAGTGAAGGGTTTAGATAATGTTACTTTATATGGGTACTACCACTTAAGAACAAGTTTATGATAATTTTATTACTTTGAGTAATTTAAGAAGCTCAGACTGGGCTGGAGAGATGGCTCAGTGGCTGAGAGCACTAGCTGCTCTTACAGGGGACACGGGTTCAAGTCCCAGCACCCACATGGCAGCTAACAATTGTCTGTAACTCCAGTTCCAGGGGATCTGACTCTGTCTTCTGACCTTCACAGGCATTGAGTGACACAGGTGCACTTACACAGATGCAGGCAATACACTCATACACAATATAAAAATAATAAATAAAATATTAAAAAAAGAAGCTCAAATTTCTAGTCTGAAATGGCACAATCCAGGGGCAGAAATTAATCCCAGCCTCAAGTTTAATAGGCTCAGAGAACAGGAAGGGCATTTGTGACCCACTGAATATTCTTTTGGGGACAAAATTTTTAGAAAACAACAGTAATATAAACAAACATTAGTGATATTTTGCTTTTTCTGTAAGTATTGTGACTGAGTTTTGCTATTCCTCCTCTAAAAACATGTTATACACTATCTTGTTGCTTCTGTTAGGAAAATAAATTTTATTGATAATTTATATAAAATATCAGTGCACTTTTTTTTTTAAGTTATTATTTTTTGGTCTTTTTTTGAGAGAAGGTCTCCCTGTAGCCCCAGCTGGCCTGGAACTCACTATGTAGACCAGGCTGGCCTCGAACTCATAGAGATCCTCCTGCCTCTGCCTCCCGAGTGTTGGGATCAAAGGTGTGTGCCACCACACCTGGCACCAGTGCACTTTTAAAGAATTAATCTTTGACAATTTCATATATGCGCATAATACATTCTGGTCACACTCATCCCTCTACCTGCTCTTGTCCTCCTCTTACTCCTACCAGTTCTCCCCTTTCTCCCACCAAGTCCCATCCTACTCTGCTGTCTTTTTGTTTTGTTTTTGTTTTTCTTTGTGACCCACTGGGTTTAACCAAGGCTGATCAGATGACTGCGAGTGTGAAGCTGTCCACTGGAACATGAATAACTCTCCAGTGGCTGTATCACTGAAGTCAATTGACTTCCTCTCCTGAAGTAGCCCTTGCCATTACCTCCCCTGGGCAGGGCAGGGCCTCATGAACCCTCCTCATTTTGTGTCTGAAGGTTTATTGACTCAGTATTGTACAGGCCGTATTCTAGGCAGCTGCAGGTATTGTGAGTGCAGTGGTCATGTCATACCCATAAACCCAGTCTCACAGCCTTCCTCTCTTTCGCTTGGCCCTTACATTCTTTTTGCCCCTTTTTTGGTGTTTTCTGAGCCTTGGAGAGGGTGTCTTATTTAATGTTGAGCATACAGCAGTCATGTGTTCTCTGGACCATGACCAACCATTAATGTTTACATTTGCTGCCATTCTTTACCTCTAAACATTTGTTTATACCCTAGCCTATGGGTATAAACAGGTATTCATGAGGCAGTTTCGACATGTCCATTTAGCAAAAACAGAAGTATTGGCTTCACCCCTAGACAATATAGTAATTTTAAATGTATATTTTAACAAATGAAACTACCACTAATAATGTATAGAACTTTGTTTTTGGAGACAGGGTGTTGTCCTATAGCTCAGACTTTGCCCTAAAATTCACTGTATTTCAGGCTGGCTTTGAATTTAGGATAATCCTTGTGCTTCAGCCTCCTGTGTGCTGTACTGCAGGTTTGCGGGACCATGCTTGCTAAGACAGAACATTTTTAAACACTCTAGAAAGCTTCCCCATGTCCCTTTACAGTTAATTCTTATCAGAGTGTGGCTGCAGGGAAGCTTTCTGTGATTATAAGCTAGTATTCAGTGTTACAATGCCTCTGTTAATGTGATATGTAGTATGTACTCTTCTGCTTTCTTCCTTTGTTCTTAGCTAACATTTTCAGTAACTTTTTAATGTGAAATTGAATAGGCTGATCTTCAGAATGGCTTAAACAAATCTGAAGTTAGTCATAGGCGAGCGTTCCATGGCTGGAATGAGTTTGACATCAGTGAAGATGAGCCACTGTGGAAGAAGTATATTTCCCAGGTGAGATGTTTCTGCTTTCATCTTTGCTGTGTAGCTTACATGGGCTTTTGTTGTTGTAATTTACGTGAGATTATTTACAGAGAAACGCAGTCATTTTTCACAATGTTTTTCCCCTAAAAATTTATGTTTATTATGTTTATCACTAGGTTGGAATTCCTGTAATTTTTAGTTTCTGATTATTCATTTGACCTTAGCCAAAAGGCTGATGAAAAGTCATAGTATTTTATAACTTTTTTTTTTGGTCTTTTTGAGACAGGGTCTCCCTGTAGCCCCAGCTGTCCTGGAACTCACTATGTAGACCAGGCTGGCCTTGAACTCACAGAGATCCGCCTGCCTCTGCCTCCCGAGTGCTGAGATTAAAGGCGTGTGCCACCACTCCCGGCTAGTTTATAACTTTTAAAGGACATTTTCTGTTTTGATAAAGCCCTATGATTTCTTTGCAAATGTGGAACTTACACTTTTTAGCTAGAGGAGGCTAGCATTTTTTAAGGTAATCTTGGTCAACGTAGTAAATTAGTAAGTTGAATAATTGAAATCCTTACTGCTAGGGTGTAAATTGCATTGTTTCTTATATGATTTACATGAGCCTCCTTTGGTGATTGATTACCTTGGGAAATCACCCACAGTACATGATGGCTATTTATAATTGTCTTTAGCTTAATCTTTTATCAAAGACTTGTAGTTTTTAAAATTTTGGTAACAGGGCTGGAGAGCTGGTGCAGCCGTTAGAGGCTCAGGCTCACAACCAAAGAGATAAAATTTGCTAGTATAAAAGGTTGGATGGGGCCTGGAGAGATGGCTCAGTGGTATAAGAACACTGTTTTTGCAGAAGACCTTGGTTCGAATCCCAGCACCCACATTGCAGCTAACAGTTGTCTGTAACTCCAGTTCGAGGAGATCCGACAGCCTCTTCTGTCCTCCATGGGTGTTGCACGACACAGGTGCACTTACCTACATACAGGCAATACATTTGCACTTTGCCTTAAAGTATTACATAGTCACTCTGGGTTTATAACCTATATTGATTTGACTTACTGTCTACAATATGATTTCATGTTTTTTCTTTTTTGCTTTTGTTATCCAAGCTAAGATCGCCTTACTCTTGGGATTTTTTTTTTTAGAATTGCAGTGCCTGTAAATATAGTTAAGCATAAACAATAATTAATAGTAAACATCAATTTTTAATCATAAAGTACCACCAGCTGACTCTTCTTTCAGAGACTATTGAGTTTGTTGTTTTGTAACATCTGTCTGGTGCTGTGAAGTGGTATGCTTTATTAACACCATAATACAGCTTTTTTTAGGGTTAAAAAAAAGATCATGGACTCTGCCCTAAAGTGTGATGGTTAGCAGCTAACATTGAAAAGTTTTATGGTCTTTTAGTGTTTTATATTCATGTTCAGTTACCTCAGATTCCTTAATCTAAGGTTCAGTTTTAAGAATCTGGGGCTTAAAAAATGATCAAGTTGCACATAGGTGACAGAAGCTAGAATCATTTGGGTTGTACTTGTTAGCCCTGAACTATATTGCAGCTGTAGTTTTGTTTTGCTAGAGCAATGATTTTTTTTTTTAAGCCCTTTATTCACTGGGATTACTTGGAGAGTGTAGAAGCCGGGCGTGGTGGCCCATGCCTTTAATCCTAGGCAGAGTTGAAGGCTAGTCTGGTCTACATAGTGAGTTCAGGTCAGCTGGGACTGCAGGGAGACCCTGTCTCAAAAAGAAAAAAAAAAAAAAAAAGTTACTGAAACTTGGACCCAGTGCCCAAAGATTCTGATTTATTTGTTCTGGTGTGAACTTTGACATCGATACTGGTTCTGAGTTGTGCTGTGAATCAGGATTGGAACCAGTAGGCCAGGAAGTGAGCTGCAAAGTGGGTGGGGAGTGGTGGCATCTACCCAGAGTGTGGGACTCTGCTGGGGTTGATTGTAGCCCAGAAAGTGATGCCCCACTTGAGCTTAGGAAGAGATTCTGGCATCTGAGCAGCAAGGAGTAGGATGTCCACCTGGAAGAGTCATTTAAGTGCTCCTTGATTGGATTGGTAGTATTTTCATTTCTTTAGATCGTATTTCTTCTGCCAGATAGATACCAGGAAAACCTGCCTTGAGGTAAACCTTGGTTTTTCCTTGGCGAGGCTCTTAATGCATGTTCCTTTTTGTCTCTGGGCTTATTCTGGTAGTGTATGGTCAAGAACAGAAGTGTAATCTTTGTTAATTTACTTACTTGGAATGTCTGACTCTTACAATTAGGTGTTCTGACTGAAGTTTAATCTGAATTTTGAAGGAGGGTGGAGGCCTGACAGGATTTTATACTATATCCCAGACTGTCTTTGAACTTGTGGCAGTTCTACCACAGCCTCCCAAATGGTGGAATCACAAGTGTGTACTACTGAATCAGGTTTTAATCTCAGAATTTAGGTTAAAAGCCATTTCCACTTTTTCTAGCCTCAGAAATTCAGACACTTATATCTGTTAAATTAATACATTGCTGTTACAAACCAACCATGGTGGTGCATGCCTGTAATCCCAACACTAGAGGGCTGAAGCAAGAGGGTCATGAATTTGAGGCTAGCCTGAACTACATAAAAACATTGAACAAAAATTGATACACTGTGACAGGTACACTTATACTATAAAAAATTAGCAAAATATTTTTGAAATATTAATATTTAATTTTCTTTTTCTGAAAAGGATCTCTTAGGTAGCTCTTAAACATGATTAAGTACAAGCCCTGCTATTTTGTTACTTGAAAATAAATCAGATATATACTCTTGTAATTTTCTAATGATGTCTCTTCTTTTTTAAGTCTTTACTGAGATCAAACAGAACTGTCATATGTCATTGTGTTGAATTGCTGTTTCATTTTTTTTTAAACTTTTAGTTTAAAAATCCCCTTATTATGCTGCTTCTGGCCTCTGCAGTCATCAGTGTTTTAATGCACCAGTTTGATGATGCCGTCAGTATCACTGTGGTAAGAAAAAGTATACATATTGTTTATATTTTTTTCAATATGTTAGTTAATTGTATAAATTAGAATTGTTTTTTACTTTGGAAAGTAAAACGATTTCAGATGAGTCTCTTTTGCTCCCTCCCACCCTCCCTCCCTCCCTCCCTCCGTCCATCCATCCAAATCCACTTAGTTGTCAGAGCTTTATTTTGTTCTGTTTGAGATGGGGTTCTCACTGTGTTACTCAGGCTGATCTTGATGTCCTGGGCCCATGTGTCCTGTTACCTTAGCTTCCCATATAGCTGAAACTACAGGCATATGTTGTCACACCCAGCAGTTGTAGTAATCATGAGTATTTTCAAAGATATGTGATGGGCAACCATGAAGATTATTTAACAATATTTAATCTCACAGAAATTTTATAATTTTCTATTTAAATTTATAATTTTTGTTGCTTTTCATTTGAAAATATTTTGCACCCATAAGCTGATATTTGATCAGGGAGTATGTGTGATCAAAGCTATATTAATAATACTGATTTTTTCTTATTGCTGTAGACTTTTTGTATTAGTTGGCACAAAAATAATGATGTGTAAAACTGTTAGAGACTTAATACAATTGAAAGTAATGACTTTCAATGGTATTAACAGTCAGTTGTTTTCTTTCATTGTTTCTGTTTAGGTAATTATAGCAGCTGGGTGTGGAAGTACATGCCACTAATCCCAGCTGTGTTACTTGGGAGGTGGTGGCAGGTGGATAGCAAGTTTCAGGCCATCCTGGGCAGCATAGTGAGTGCCCCTCCCCTTTTTTTAATGTGTGGGATGTGTTCTTCATAGAGGACTAAAATTCTGACCCTGGAGTATGTGCCTATTTGGAAATCTGTGTAGTGAAACGGGAAGCAAGTAGACATTGCAATAGTGTGGCTCTGTGAAGGAGGGGGTTGTTAGGACGTGAGCCAGCTGTTACTTGAAAGAATAATGTTGCTAGTGATAAAGATTTAGGCTTTCTAGTAGTAATGATAGTTGGGGTAAATTTTTATGTACTACATGAACTTTATTTAGATGGCTTCCATGTGTTTAAGACTATTCTAATGACATTATTAGTGTCAACCAACATTTTTTAAAACTCTTAATGTGTCAGGTTTGAATAACAAAGTGAGCCAATATTTTCCAGATGAATGATATATGAGATAATCAACTCATCAGTTATAAAAGGTGGATTTAAAATGCAAAGTAGCAAACCAGTGGATTTTATGCCAGACTATGAAAAGTTCATTGATACAGTTTTACTTTCTCTATTGCTAACTACTTTTAGTAACACTTGTTGAATTTTAGTGTAGTAGCTAAGAATATAATCACCTGGGAAAGTTATTATTTATTCCTTCCTTTTCCAACTGTGTTTTGTGTGAGGCTTG